AAAAAAAAAAAAAATTTTCATTGGTGGGATTATGGATTACATTCTTTTAAAAATTTATTTTATTTTGGATTAATACAAGGTACATACAAAAAGTCCTTAACTTTTTGAGTGGTGCCTGTGGTTCAGTGGGTAGGGCACTGGCCCCATATACGAAGGGTGGCTGGTTTGAACCTGGCCCCGGCCCAACTGCAACAAAAAAAATAGCTGGGCGTTGTGTTGGGTACCTTGTAGTCCTAGGTACTCAGAAGGCTGAGGCAAGAGAATTACCTAAGCCCAGGATTTGGAGGTTGCTGTGAGGTGTGATGCCACAGCTCTACCAAGGGCGGTACAGTGCGACTTTGCCTCTACAAAAAAGACCTTAATTTTTAAGCAGAGAGGTTATGGGGGTCCCAGTAGGAGGATGGGAATATGATAGATCATATTTCTTTTGTCCTAGGGGGTAACTATGGAGATGATCGTCGTGGTGGCAGAGGAGGCTATGATCGAGGCGGCTACCGGGGCCGTGGTGGGGACCGTGGGGGCTTCCGAGGGGGCCGGGGTGGTGGGGACAGAGGCGGCTTTGGCCCTGGCAAGATGGACTCCAGGTGAGTATGAGTTTAAATTGAGGTTAAAGTAGAACAGTTGAACAGAGGCCATGGACTAACAAGGTTATAGAGGGGGTGGTTTTGTTTGAGGGGGGTTTAATTGGAAAGACCTGAGTTTGTAAATGACAGTAGGGAGGGAGGGTAGGAAAATTACTTCAGGTCTCTGTTGACCCACCCTACTTAAAGAGATGAGACATTTGCTTGGTTGGATAAAGGGGGCAGATAAAGTATTTGGGGTGTGTGCGGGGTGAGTAGAGAGGCTGGTAACAAACCTAATGGGTACTTTTTTTTTTTTTTGCAGGGGTGAGCACAGACAGGATCGTAGAGAGAGGCCATATTAGCCTGGCTCCTGAGATTCTGGAACAGCTTTTCTTCCTGTACCCAGTGTTACCCTTGTTATTTTGTAACCTTCAATTCCTGATCACCCATGGGTTTTTGTGTCGGACTATGTAATTGTAACCATACCTCTGGTTCCCATTAAAAACCATCGTTTTAGTTATATTTTGTTCCTCCCCCTCACCTCCCACTCTCATGAAGGATTGATATCTGGGTCAGGAATATGGGGAGTTTTCCTCTTTTTAGATCCTCCTGCCCAGCAGGAATTGGAATAATTTGTTCCTGCCCAGCAAGAAATAGTGTTTGCTACTTGATCCAAGGGAGAAAAGGAAAGGTCAAGTGGTTCCTAAAAGTGTAGATAAAATTTTTCTGTCATGACAAATTGGATATATAAAAGATACATGAACATGGATGTCATGAGTTTTGTCCCAGATTTGCCCAGCTATGTGGGAGTTTTTCTTTTCCCACATTTATTTGCATGCTGGTTTTATTTATTTTTTTTTGTGGTTTTTGGCTGGGGCTGGGTTCCAACCCGCCACTTCCAGCATATGGGGCCAGCGCCTTACTCCTTTGAGCCACAGGTGCCGCCTTGCATGCTGGTTTTATTGTTCACAGGAGCTCTTGGCTGTTCTGACACATTCCTGAGGGTAAGGCTCAAATTTGAGGGGCAATATTCAAATTTGAACATGGTAACAGTTCTAAGTTGGGTCTTTCATAGGAAGGGAAGTAACTGAGTACCTTCTGAGTGCCATTGGAGTTCTGTGGATTGAGTCCTCTGACTTCATTTGCATTTTGTAGCATTTTTGTTTTGAAGCCATTACATGAAGGAGACAAACAACTATCCTAAATTTTTGTTTACTTAAGCATTGAGAAGATGTTATATTAGGGAAAAGAAGCTTGGGAATGAGTGGAGAGAAGGAGGTGGATTTCCTGGGAAAGGAAACTAGAGATATTTCTTGTACTTACAGGAGATGAGTGACCACCTCCCTTCTCTGGTTAATGGGGTTTAGGTAGATGCTTGTTGTAGGAAAACAATGGCACTTTCACATCCTGCCTGTACCAGAGGGCTAGAGGTGACTGGCATTTTGAGATTTGTGGTCTTAGTTTTTATGATTGGGGAGTAGAAATTCCTCTTCCTTTTTTTTTTTTATCGTTTTGAGAGAGTCTCTATGTTGGCCTTGATAGAGTGCTGTGGTGTGAAAGCTCACAGCAGCTGAAACTCCTGGGCTCAAGCTATTCTCTTGCCTCAGCCTCCCAAGTAGCTGGGATTATAGGTGCTGACCATAATGCCCAACTATTTTTTTGTTGCATTTTATCATTGTTTAGCTGACCTGGGCTAGGTTTGAACCCGCCACCCGTGGTGCCTGTGGCCAGTGCTGTAATCACTGTGCTACAGGTGCTGAGCTAAGTCCTCTTAAAGGATGTGTTGAGTGATAGAGTTGGGGGAGGATGTGGTGAGTTAAAGCCTGGCCCCAGTGCCCTTCTACCTCTTAAGTGCATACCTATAAATTTGTCCCTCCCAATTCATTGGTTAGCATCAATTTTAATGCAGAACTGAAAGGTATAGCCAAGAGCAAAAATTTTTTGTCATAGTACTTTATTTTTTTATTTTATTTTATTTTTTGAGACAGAGCCTTAAGCTTTGCCCTGGGTAGAGTGCTGTGGCGTCATAGCTCACAGCAACCTCCAACTCCTGGGTTCAAGCAATTCTGCCTCTGCCTTCCAAGTAGCTCGGACTACAGGCACCCGCCTCAATGCCGGGCTATTTTTTGTTGCAGCTATCATTGATTGGCGGCCCTGGGCTGGATTCGAACCCACCAGCTCAGGTGTATGTGGCTGGCACCCTACCCTTTTGAGCCACAGGTGCCGCCCCATTTTTTTAAATTTAAATTTTTATTGAGACAAGTCTTCACTCTTTAGCAGGCCAGGGTGCTATGGCATCAGCCTAGCTCACACCAACCTGAAAGTCCAAGGCTTAAGTGATCCTCCTGCCTTAGTCTCCTGAGTAGCTGGGACTTCAGGCACCAGCCACAATGCCCAGCTAATTATTCTATTTTTAGTAGAGGTACGGGGTCTTGCTCTTGCTGAGGCTGGTCTTGAACTGAACTTACAAGATCCTAACATCTTGGCCTCCCAGAGAGCTAGGATTACAGGTGTAAGCCATTGTGCCACAATGATGACGGTTGCAACTGCAGAATACCTGGGCATTGTGGTAGGTGCCTATAGTCCCAGCTACTTGGGAGGCGGAGGCAAAATAATTGCTTGAGCCCAGGAGTTAGAGGTTGCTGTCAGCTGTGATGCCATAGCACTACCCAGGGCAACAGCTTGAGGCTGTTTAAAAAAAAAAAAAATGTTTAGCTCTGTACCTGCGGCTTAAGATGCCAGCCACATATACCTAAGGTGGTGGGTTTGAATCCAGCCCGGGCCGCCAAACAACGATGGCCGAAAGAAAAAAAAATAGCTGGGTGTTGTGGTGGGCACCTGTGGTCCCACCTACTTGGGAGGCTGCGGCAGGAGACTCACTTGAGTCCAGAAGTTGGAGGTTGCTGTGACCTGTGATGCTATGGCACTCTACCCAGGGGGAACAGCTTGAGGCTCTGTCTCAAAAAAAAGTTTGTGGCTCAATACCTGTAGCACAGTGGTTATGGCACCAGCCACATACACCAGGGGTGGTGGGTTTGTAGCTGACCTGGGCCAGCTAAACAACTAACAAAAAATAGCCTGGCTTTGTGGCAGGTGACTGTAGTACTAGCTACTTGGGAGGCTGAGGCAAGAGAATCACTTCAGCCCAAGAGTTTGAGGTTGCTGTGAGCCATGACACTACAGCACTCCACTGAGGGTGACATAGTGAGACTGTCTCAAAAACAAAATAAAAACAGTTTGTAAGATGGCTCTATCAGAAACATAGCTGGTGTATTATGCCTGGGACTCCTATTTGGGAAGTGCTTTTCCTCTTGAAATTTTTCAGATGTGCTGTAGTATGTTCTTGGTTTAAGCGTGTTCTAGTCTATTCTCCAGAGAAGAGTTGGTTTATCCTCAAATTTTTGAGGCAGGGAAACTGACTTCATGAAAAGGAATAGCTGCTTTATCACCTTTCCTGCTGGAATGGGAGTAGGTCAAGAGTGGCCTAGCGTTTGACAACTGAGGAGGTGGCCTGGTGTGGTGGCTCATGTCTGTAACCCTAGCACTCTGGGTGCCTGAGGTGGGTGGATTGCCTGAGCTCAGAAGCTTGAGTTCAGCTTGAGCAAGAGCAAGAAGCCCGCCTCTAAAAATAACCAGGCATTGTGGTAAGCACCTATAGTTACAGCTACTTGGGAGGTAAGAGATTTCTTTGGGCTCCAGAATTAGAAGTTAGCTGTGAGCTATGATGCTAGGGCACTCTACCAAGGGTGACAAAGTGAAACTACCCAAAACAAAAACAAAAGTTTTGTCAAGTGGATCTTGACAGGTGTTGCTTTGATTTGGCTTCTCTTTTTTTGGGGGGGGGGGTGTAGATAGGGTCTTGCAGTGGTGCCCAGGCTGGAATATAGCAGTGTGGTTGTAACATATTGTAACCCCAGAACTGCTGGGCTCAGGGGATCCTCTACTTCAGCCTTCTAGGTCACTGTGCCACAGGTGTGTACCCCAGCCTGATAATTTTTTTTATTGTAGAGAGGAGGTCTTACTACGCAGCCCAGGCAAGTGATCCCCTCCTGCCTCTGCCTTCTAAAGTGCTGAGATAATAGGTGTGAAGCACTGCTCCTGGCCTTATTGAATTTAGTACATGCAGAGAAGCCCTCGGATTTAGAGCCAAGGATGTGACAATAGTAGTTATCTCCTTTTTTCTGCTGTTTTTTAATGCTATGTTTGGTTTGAGTGGCCTGATCTGAAGTCTCTGAGTAGTTCATGGTTGCTGCTTCATTTTAGTAGGGTTCTAATCTTAAGCCATGGTTCTGGTTCCTTAATCCCTATTGCTAGGAGTAAAGGAGGTTGAAGCTTTTTTTTTTTTTTTTGAGACAGTCTTCTTATATCACCCTCGGTAGAGTGCTCTGGCAACACAGCTCACAGCAACTTTAAACTCTTGTGCTTAAGCAATTCTCTTACCTCAACCTCCAAAGTAGCTGGGACTACAGGTGTCCGCCACAATGCCTGGCTACTTTTTGTTGTAGTTGTCACTGTTATTTAGCTGGCTCAGGCTGGGTTCGAACACTCCGTCCTTGCGGTGTATGTGGCTGGTGCTGTAACTACTACGGGCACCAAACCAGAGGTTGAAGCTTCTTATAAGACCTGATTACCAGGATTATTGTCTAAGTTTTTTTTTTTTTTTGAGACAGTCCCCCCCCACCCTTGGTAGAGTGCTGTGGCATCACAGCAACCTCAAACTCTTGGGCTTAAGCAGTTCTCTTGCCTCAGCAAGTTAGCTGGGATTACAGGTGCCCACCACAACACCCGGCTATTTTTTGTTTTTGTTTTTGTCATTGTTAACCTGCCAGTTGGTGTATGTGGCTGGCACTGTTAGTACTTTGCTGTGGGCACCTAGCCTAGTGTCAAGTTCTTAAGTCATTTAAGAGGGTTTGGTAATTAGTCTTTAAATAAAAGGAGATAGGGCCAGTTCTGTAATCCCAGCTACTTGGGAGATTTAAGGTGGGATGATTGCTTGAGCCCAGGCGTTTAAGCAAGACTACAGCTTAAAAAAGTGCGAAGATTGTCTCAGCGCCTGTAGCTCAAGCTGGCAGGTTCAAATCCAGCCCAGGCCTGCCAAAACAACAATGATGACTACAACCAAAAGCCAGCTGGGCATTGTGGGTGCCTATAGTTCCAGCTACTTGGGAGGCTGAGGCAAGAGAATTGCTTAAGCCCAGGAGATGGAGGTTGCTGTGAGCTGTGATGCTATGGCACGCTACCCAGGGAAAACAAACAAAAAATGTGACTGATGGGAAAGCCAGTTTGGGGAACTTTTGGTAGAGTGACTCCAGGTGACTGATGGTAGGGCCAGTTTGAGGGACTCTTCCAGGAGAATGGTGAATAGAATTAGAAGTGCAAAATGTTAAGTGTCTGAGAAGCTGGTTCCACTGCTAGGTTGTCATGGTGAGAAAAGTATGAGATCCACGGGGTTTGGAGTTTGGGCCCTCTCTTTGCTGCACTCCCTAGTAATAGTAAGGCTGGAAATGGCCAGTCATATTT